ATTCAATAAACCGACACAAATGCCTGTGCACAAAAATACGCGCACTACACACAAGGTCTGAGCACATTTCGGTGACGCGGTGAAGCCCCCACAGTTCAGCCATTAGAGTGGGAAAATAAATACATTTATTTCACTTTAAGACCATGGGTTTCCTTCCAGATGCCACACAGCCACAACCTCCCCCCCCACACCTCTCTCCATGCGCCTGGAATTTGGTCGGGTCTACTGGGGAGGAAGTGAGACCAAGAGTGGCCGAAGCAAGACACCTCAAGCACGGTGGTGATATTTAACAAGCTTCCGCTGAGGGGCTGGTGACGCAGCGAGAAGAAGTTTTAGACATCCAAACCGTCCCAAAGCCCTGGCATAAGGTTCCAACTTAGTACACCGAGTTGGGCATGGCTGTAGCAACAGATTGGGGCTTAAGGGGAATCAACAGGAACGTAATTTTAATAGTTTCGCTCAATGGAGTTGGATTTCAGCCCTCAATTCTGGTAAATTAAAACTAAAAACGAAAGGTGGAAAACTGTAAATAAATAAAATAATCAAGATGTTTTTGAGTGAAAAACACCTGCAATAATTAAATCTCTCTCTCTCTCTCTCTCTCTCTCTCTCTCTCTCTCTATATATATATATATATATATATATATATATATATATATATATATATATATATATATATATATATACATAATTCTGACATTGATATTGACATTAATATTTTGAAATTGAGAGGGTTTTTTTGTTGCAGATTTTTCAGAATAAAACTTTCCACACTCAACATTTCATTTCGGCTTGTGCTTTGCCTCCTCGCCCATAAAGCTGCAGAGCAAATCTCCTGAGCACCCCCGCACCACCACCCACCGCCCTCCACCCAAACCCACCTCATCCCAAACACTCGTCCAGCCGAACGCGTCGCTCCTCCCGCTCCGCCGCCGCAGCTCTCATTTGTTTCCCATTCAGTTTTATAGAGACACTTGGTCAAGGAGGCGCTGGCACTTGTAAGAGCATGGACATTTTATGACACAAACCCACTGCCCCATGCCAAAAACAATGAGTTCCTCTCCACCCCCCACTGCCACGAGAGAATGTGATTTTTACTTGCAATCCGAGCCTGAAGTATGCGCGGACAGTGGTGGGGGGAGGGCTCTCTTCACCTTTCACCCCGCCGTGTTGGGACTGTTTGTATTTTTCTCTCTCCCCCCCACCCTCCCACAACCCCTCCTCGGTCCCCTGTGCTCCGTCAGTTAGCTAAATACTGATGAATGCGGTAAGCAGGAAAAAAAGACATGATTGGTAGGGGCTCGGCTTCACCTTCCTGTATGTATCTCTGCAGGCATACAACAGACATAAACAACACGTCGCTGTTTACTGAAATATCAGGTATGAGGAAGAATTCCTACTACCGGAAGAGGAGATACCAAGAAAAATAGCTTGCAGCCTAAATTGATGTCAGGTTCATTTGGTTTCACTTTTGCGTTTGCTTGGTCACGATACAGAACGGAGTGGAGTTTGCATTTATGCAACAGGGCGATAGACTGAGATGGAATCCTTTCCACCTGCATGCGAATATTTTTTTCCCCCCTCAATTCTTTAATTTTAAAGGAAAGTCACTATGGCACATGTCTCAGGTGACTGACATGGAAGACGCACCAGCCTTTCACAACCCTGCCAGGAAAAGAGATGGGCGAATGGACATTTTTCTTGCAACATTTTTTTTTAACTTTTTGATAGTTGTTTTAAAAAAACTTTGGTTGCCGATCTTCATTCGCAACGTCCATGAGTATTTTTGTTAATTATCATTGTAGTGTTTTTTTTTATTTTATTTATTTATCTCCCACACATAAAAAAGACAACTAATAGCTCAATTCCAAAGGAAGTGTGGCTTGAACCTGTAAGTGTGATTGTTTGAATGCAGAAGTCCTAATTTGTTGGTGTGTATTAGGTCAATCTGTGAAAACATTCCTCTCACACTCCCAAGGATGTATTCTGCAATTCCTTTGTGAGTCCCCATTTCCCAACACACACACACACACACACACACACACACACACACGCACACAAAAATGCAATCTTCCTTTCTTTCTTTCCATATGCCGGTTGCAAAGACTACAACCTTGACATCTGATTTGCAGGATGCATTTTGCAAGTTGCTTCTTTTTCTACAATTCTTTCTCCTCGGATGCTCTATGTTTCCCATTATACACTTACGAAACTCTAAAATTTCACCCGTCTTGTAAAAACATAGCCACAACCACATGAAAAGTGTTGTTGTGGGGGGAAAAAAGGGACAAACTAAGTGGAGTGTAATTTTAAACGTGGAATTTTTTTAAAAGTTGGTCCTTAACTCTTTTAAGCATTTGCATGCTATTCACGATGTTGCTTAAATTCTCAAAATGTAGTTATCAACTGGTTCAACTGTGCAAGATTTCTGTCAGTGTCCGAGATTAAAGTCAACTAAACTACAAAACAATATTGTGATGAGCTTTTGCTTTTTTTTCTTCTGAATGTGTGTCCATCCACGGCAGAAATAAAATACATACTCTTTCAAAAAAAAAGAAAAGAAAAAGAAAATCAACTAATTATGTTGGTTTAGTTTTTAGTTTAAATATAGAAGAAATTGCAGAAAGCATTATCCGCAATTTGGCGACTTTAGCAGGAAGAAGACAGCATCAGTGTTGTTTTCTGTTCGCAGAGATGTCTTTTCTTTGACATCCCGAGCAGCATTACGTGTTATTTGTGCAGACTCTGACTTAATCAAAAGCAAGTTCTTAAAATTATTTACCATTTTCAGCATTCTCAGCAGCTATACGGGCCCTTCCACCATCACTGCCCCCCTCCTTTCGCCTCCCTTTGTTCTCTCCAGCTCTAATAGGTTTTCCCCTGCCACACACCATTCACTTTTTTTTCTTCTTCTCTTTTACCCCCCACCCCCCACACCCCGAACCACCCCCACCGCACGCACACACACACACACACACACACACACACACACACACACACACACACACACACACCATCCCCATTTTAGTGCAAGGTCCAGTGTCGACTGGAGCATTTGAGCAATTTGAAATTAAAGCAAACAATGGGCAGGCACTCCCAGGGACCTCTCGCTCACCATATTACACGGAGGACGCTCGTGTGCTCCTGCACATTACTGGCAAGTCATTACGTTTCTCTGGAAACCGAGCGCAGGAGCACGCTCACAGAAGTCAGTGATGCAAGCAGCAGCTGAGTGCTTGGAATAGCGTGTGCGAGTGTGTGTGAGCATCCTTGGCAACGGCATGGAGAACTGTCAAAACAAAGCGGACTACTGACATGCTGATGTGCAGCTACATACAATGTATACCTTCACAGGTTTTACATTTTAGGGAGATTTTTTTTTTTTTTTGTCAAGTCCGAGACTTAAGAAGTCACCCTTGTGCTTTAATTTCCCTTTATAATAATTAAAACTGATGTTGATGATTTCAGGTGAAGCGCTTAAATCACGCCATGCACTTTAGCTGTTTCAAATGTATGGTGTAACTTAGTTTACGGGAGAATACAAACATACACATTTACTGAAAGGGGGAGGAGGAAATTAAAGGAATAACTTTATATTTTTTCCCCTGGCAGCCAAGGCAATGTGGTGGGTGTGGTTGCCCAGCTGTGTCAGGAAAAACTTCAGAAACAGAAAAAAAACATGTTTTTTTTTTTAAAATAAAATAACTTAATAATTGCACTTATAGATGTAAATAAAACTGTTTACATTTATAACCTGTTTATCAGCTCGGGTGGAGCATTCTAGCGAGTCGCCACTAAACGTTTCCCCGGTGTGTAACACAGAGGCTAATTTTTCTTAGCCACTCTTCAAATTAAGAAGGAGAAGAAAACAAGCTGTTGGTGAAAGGCAGGTTTGTGCTGATCCTCGTAAGTCTACAAAACGGCTGCAAAAAACAGAGCTACTCACGTAAACATTTCAATATTTACAGTCGGAGCTAAAACTTACAACTGTCACAGTAACCCGGACAAACGAGGCAGGAAGAGGACCAGAGTTTATCTGGCTGCAACCGACAGTGGGGGAGGGTGAAAACGGATAGAAGAGGGGTACACTAAATGATTTAAATGGGCAACTTTTAGCATATTCAATAAACACATTAATTGACATAAGAGAGAACAACTTGGCTAGTGATAAATTACGCACTTTTTTTTTACTTGTTTGCTAAATAATCAATAAAACAATTAGAGTTGGTGAGATGTGGAGTTAGATCTTTCTTATCAGAGTTTTGTTACATTAATTTAAGCAACAAATCATCATTACAAGTGTTTCCACTTGGATAACCTGTATTAGACGAAATATTAGTTAGGTTATCAATTAAAACTGTCATGCTTTTGGTTGAAGCTTATTCATTCATTGCATTTAATCCAAAGTTTCCTTGGTGTATGGCGACCCAGCAAAGAGACGTGCTTTCTAGCGTCTAAAAAGAGATTTTTCCAGGATTCACATAAAAAGTAGGAGCTGACCTTGCATATCTCTCTCATAGATGTAAATGAGAGCAACATTTTAATGGCAAAAATAACCGCTTAGTTTGAAGTTTGTCAATATAACAGCGAAAAGTAATCTATTTATAATATAACAGCTAGTATGTTTAAGGTATAGCGTCACGAGTGCAAACGCACCAAAAATTGCATTTTATTTTTTTTTAATGTATTTTTGTTTTGTTTTGAGCTGCCGCAATGGCATCTGGTTAGCGCGACAAAAACCACAGGGACGTGATGTTTCACTAGGAGGAAGCAGCAGGAAATGAAGTTGGATCAGATTCTTTACGGAGTGTAACATTTCTCAGAGGAATTTTTTTTAACCACAACCTAAAAGCAGAGCTAATGGATCTGGAGGAGGCGGTGGGGAAACACGGCAAATGGGATTCCCTCAAGCTACCTTCTCCTTCACTAATATGCAATTTTGTTAAATTAAATCAATCATTAATTTATTTTGTTTAGCTTTTTTTTTTTAAAGCAAACGTAATCTCTAATCCACAGCATAATATTTTCCTCAGTATTTAACATGTTTGCGCAGCTTCTTGTTACTCTGTTGACTGAGTTTTGCAGAGTGGAGTTTTCTTTCTTCGCACGTCCATGTGGATAAAAAAAAAAAAAAAAGCTACCGTTACTGACGTCGCTCTACTCACTCACCGTGCGTCGTTACGCACTTCCTGTTCGCTACGAAGTTCCCCCTCTGCTCCACCATCGAGCCCTGACGGCGATGTTTTGGTGAAAACAAAATAGTGCCTCGAAAAGGAACGTAAACACGTCTAAAACATGACATGTCGGTGGAGTGGCACCTAGAGCGTCGCTGCGGATAAAACGACCGTCGTCTTCGACGAAATTTTTTTTTTTTTTTTTTTTGCGGTCAGTCCTTGTGTGTTCCTCCGCATGTCCGCTTTCCTCGTAGATGGTCTGCGGCGAGCGTTGTCTTACGGCGGATGTCAAGCTGTTGACGAGTAACATGAAGGAGATGATCGGCGGTTGCTGTGTGTGCTCGGACGAACGCGGCTGGGCGGAAAACCCGCTGGTTTACTGCGACGGCCACGGCTGCAACGTCGCTGTGCACCAAGGTGAGCTGCTAGCCAAGCTTTAGCCGTTAGCCCTCATGCTAGTTAGCGTTGTCTTGTTGAAAGGTTATGTAGCCTCTTCCTCCTCCTCCTCCTGTTCCTCTGCCTGCTTCCCACCAAGGCCGAGCCGAGGTCAGGCTCTACACATGCTGTCGGGCTCCTCGCTGCTTCGGCTCGCCAGCTAACCCAGCCTGCACGCTGATGGGAGCTGACAGCGGCAGCATGAACACGTTTCTGGCTGCGAGCTGTTGCCATTGTTTCCTTGTCAGAAGCTGTTATGAAAGAGGGGAAAGAGGAAGGGACACACTCCAGTTGGGGTTGCACTTCAAATTGAGCCAAGAATACTGGTCTAAAGTCGGTCAAACCTAGAAAGCAAACACGGCTACGTCCAAACACCAAAACACTCTGCATGCAGGGTCCCACTACAGCAGCTGAGATGACTCAGATGGTGATGTCTAATGTTTACATTAGCAACAGCTAGCCATGTGTCCACTTAGTAAACACAGCCAAAGACAGAAGCTGCTGAACAACTGTAAACGGATCCAAACAGCTGATCGGCGTGTTTTTGTTTTTTTGGAAGCTGCTACTGAACTTTTGTTGGCAACTACTTTGTTAGTGATTCAATTCAAAAAGTGGAACTCATATATTTGTAGATTCATTACACAGAGGGAGTGCTTTTTTTCTGTTAGTTTTGATTGTTATGCCTTACTCGAAGCGAAGAATTAGACTGTTACTTTAAAGCAATAAAAAAAAGATTTTAATGTCATTGCTTTATGGTATGGCCATGTTAGACTTGCTTAAACATGAGGAAGACTCATAATTTGACAGCTACCAAGAAGACTGTCATTGTCCGAAACAGTGCTATATTGTAGATTTGGTATGTATAGAACGTTGAGTGGAAGGAAAAAGTATGGCAGAGAAAACAGTTGCATGGATGACAGGGTTTAAATAAATAAAGCCCTAAGAAAATTACAAAGCAAGGCCCAAACAAGAGTCCATATGAGATTCATGAGGCATTTCTAAAAGCTGAAAATTCTGGGGTGTTTTATGTATCTGAACTTACATTGAAACATGTGAAAAGTTATCATAAATAATGTGGTTTTTTGTTGTTGTTTTTTTACTGAATGTTATAGTATTCTAACTATAAAACTTTAAAGATAAATGTCAGAAAATTGGTGTTTGAAAGGTCCCTTTGTTTTGCCAAAGGGTCACATTTATTACTGTGATTTTTTTCCACGCTAAAAGCAGCTGCAAAGAACATACTGCCTTGAATAAAAGAAATAGACTTCAGATTATTTCCATTTTTGACTGACTTTACTTGGCATAGGAGTCACATTTTTACTTGTCAAATCAATTGTTTTTTTGTGTGTGTACAAAAATAGTTGGAAACATAAACAAACCACTTAGCTGTTTAAAAACCCCTCAGCTTTAGGTAAAATAAACACAGTATCATTGCACCGGTCTTCAACACCGTGACCCATTTATGTCTGTAGCAGGAGTGAAAAAGGAAAAAAAAACAAAGAATGATACTCTGGGTGTGTTTTATTTGTACTATTGGCTAGGATTCTCACTACCATGACAACCACTTGAACTCATTTAACATCTAGACAGGTTAATCCATGTCTCAGTTCAAAACCTGGGTGGGTTACCAACATTTTAAACAGTAAACATGTGGTTAAAGGTTTCTGTCATTTTTCCCACACCTAGCTGCACACTGCTGGTGAGCAGGCTGAAAGAACAAAAAATCTTGGCACACAGCAGAAGAAAACGAAAAACACAGATGAAATGTTAAACCACACCACAAAAACTGGAAGGCTACAAGACACTTGTTACGCTTCACAGCTCACTGCTCAAACAGTGTGTTGTCAACTAAAATTGGGATTATATGTTGTGTTGTTTCCCCTAAAGAAGCAAGGATTCTTGCTTCTTTAGCAAGCAAAGCAAAACAAAGTTTTGCTTTGTTTTTCTGTTAAACATATGCAGTATTTATTTAGCTCAGTTTCCATTCTCGGACTCTGTGTTTTTGTTTGTTTTGATTATGTTTAAAATGGCTGCATTAGCCTTCTTTCAGCCAGCTGACCAGCAGTTTCCAACAGGTTAGAAAATCCACTTGGAGTCAGAGAAAACTCTTTACATGCTGCTATTTTCTGGTGTGTCATTAAAATAAGTCCTTATGCTTTTAAATTTTCATACTTGTCAGAGGCCCATTCTTAGTTGGTATTTCCCATTAGCTAGGCTTATCTATGTGACATGTACTTTGCTGAAAAGATTTAATATTCCCGTCATAACTTTTGTCTTTCATTGCATTTGTTGATACTTAAAAAAGTAATTAACGTTTAGTTTACAAAAAAGAGAAGGCAGTTATATTTACAAAGTGGACTGCATTTCGCTATCTCTACAGTCATATTTATACATTCAAATAAATAAACAAACCCAGTTTTCTCAAAGGTGCACATTTATTATAAACTGCTCCAAATAAAAAAAAAACAGGCATCAGACTCTGATTTAATTTGCCTAGCAACATAAAAAAAATCTGCCAAGCTTTTAAGTGATTGGATCAGCTGTTCCTGTTCTCAGGATTTTGGATTATAGCTTTTCATTCCAGTGGATTACGGGCCCTGGTCACATCAGAGATAATCTGAAAATGTGTAGGGGTAGGCTATTTAAGATGCTAGTGCAGTATTTAGGGCAGTTGGATCTGTATGTTTACCTGCATTGTTGTGTAAATGCTTACGTGCCAAAAAATGTGGTTTGATTTTGGAAATCACATATATATTTATTTATTTCTTTTTGTGGATGCTGATGAAACAGGAGGGGCTGGAGTGAGATTTGCTGAGCTGGGATGAGTGTTTGAAGCAGCATTTGAAGTGTTCATCCAGAGCAACTGATAATTGTAGCCAAACTGCTGATTTAATGAGAGCTGGACATTTTTTCCCCCTGACCTTCAATATTTGTTTAAAAATTAAACATTTACCCTGAAAGCTGCTACACAAGCTTTTCATTAATTATTCAGTGATTTTATGTATGGAAACTTTGAGAAGGAGGTTCAAATAAAGCACACAGAGTAAATACACTGACAGACTGGTTTTACTGTTTGTAGTAATAATAATTGTAAACGTTTTTCTTGTAATGTCTGATTATTCCTGCCTCTCTTCAGCCTGCTATGGAATTGTTCAGGTGCCGACTGGTCCGTGGTTCTGCAGAAAGTGTGAATCCCAGGAGAGAGCGGCCCGTGTGGTGAGTACTTCTTACTTCTTCTTTCCGTTTGTCTTTTTAGGACCTATTTTGGTTGCCTAATCATAAATGAAACATAACATTATACACAGTTTTGTAACAGTTTTCCAAAGTTATAAAAAAAAAATTTCTGCGATGCTCCTCCATCATCTTCTGATAGTTGGAACCGATAGTAGCAGCTTTTCTCTGAAGACAGTGTTGGGGGAGGGGGACGTTTTAGGGTGAGACATTTCACTCTATTCTACCACTCTTATCAGTGGGTGTGACACTAATTTCTCTCAATAATATTTTTTAAAAATGTGTTCTTATTTGCAATCTTTTGCCCAATAAAGTGGCAAAAATGTTCCTATGCATTAATCTTCCAGTCGTATGTTCTAGAGCACCAGAAAGCAGAAAAAGTAACTGCAATTTGGCAAGGCTACGGCTAATTTAGCATGCAACACTGCACTTAGATGCACTAACGTCCTTTGTTCTTTTATTTTCCAAAGCATTCCTGAGGTAAATGCACAGCACAATGATTGGTAAAACTAATTGAGATTTGCAGTCTCAGACCTGTGCCTACACAAACTACAGCAAACTTAATAAACTGGAGCAAAGCTTTGAAGAAAAGTTGGCAAAACTTCTTTCGCCATTATAAAACAGGCCTATCTGGTCTTGTTTAAACAACAAGCTTGTTCCTATTAGAGTTAACATTAGCTGAGACTGCCGGGTGCAGTGCGCCACATCGGCTGAAACTGGTCAGTTTGCTTCGTGCGGCCTTGTCAAGAGTGGCGGTAACTTGTGAATTTGTTGTCAGCCAGTTCTGCAACGGCATCCATATGTGTGTGAAATAGAAAAAAATGCAGGAAGCACAGAAGAGAGGGGAGAAAAGAGGCACATACCTGATATTATTATTATTATTGCAGTATTTACCAGTACTACCTCCATCGCAAGAATTTCTAAAATTACGCAACTGTTGTACCTGTTTACTATTGTAGTTCTTGATTTGGACCATATGGGCGGTTGTCCAGGGTGGTATTAAAATGGGGAGCACACACAAATTCTAGATCGAAAAATATGCAACATATCAGTCACTTGCGCGTTGACCAAGTTTGCTAGTGTTTTCATGAGTGTGTAGTCAATAGGGAGTATCAACTTGTTCGTTTAATAATAATGACACAATGTGGCAAATTGACCCAGAGCTGTTGTCCAGATGCTTCCTGGGTATAAATATTTGTAAAGTACAGGTGGTATATTTCTAAATAAACCATAAAATTTTTCAGTAAACCACACGATTTCTAATTGCCACCTCTGCTACCATTTCAAAAGCAAACATTTCGATGGAGGATTTGTTAAGGGGAGATTAAGCTGAGGCATTAGTATGTTTTAAAGGGATTTACGAAGCAACCCTAAAGGTAGTTAATGTCACTTTGGGTTTTGGATTTGGGACAAAGTGCAGCTGAGAATGAGCTGACTCATCAGAGGCAAAGCAGAAAGCTGATTGGCTGGAAACTCCCCTGTGCTGATAGTCCCTCTGAGGGATAACGGCCGTCAGCTGGCAGATGAAATCAGGGTGTTTTCCTTAAATGTTGCTGGCAGTACACCCCACAGTCGGTACCTGTCCAGCTCAAGTCCTAAAACACTCCCGTACTCTTGTGTTGACTTGTTGTTCCTGACCCATTTTTCTTTTACACCCTCTTTCCCCGACAGAGATGTGAGCTCTGTCCCCACAAAGATGGAGCCCTCAAGAGGACGGACAACGGAGGTAGATCTGATCCCACACGCTCCCATGTTGTCATTATTTACACATCGCCGGCATGTTGATGGACCGTTAGCCGACTGAGAGAGTTATGTTGCTGTTTGTTGTGTGTGGGTGTGTGTGTATGCGTGCGTGCGCACAGTTTTCACCGGTCTGTTTTATAGGAGTGTTTGAGTGTGTGTGTATGTTTATGAGGGGGCGGGCCGGCATGAGTATAGTGCACGGCCTGTGAGGAGTCTCCCCTTTGGGGTTCATGGAGAGGTCATCTTGGTGGAGACTGTAAATATTCTCTGTGCATGTAAGTGTATGTGTGTGTGTGTGAGGCAGTCAGAGAGAGGCACAGCTGTGGGATTGTGTCCAGGCCTGCAGGGAGGCATGGGGACAACACTAACACACACCGTTTTACTACTTTCTCTTTTATTTTACCCTTCTCGTGACCCCTCTCTGTCTCTTCTCTCCTTTCTCAGCAAACCCTTTCCCTCGTTTCTTCCGGCTCTCGTCGGCCCCTCCTCACTTGTTAGTGTGTTTATTTGTTCTTTCAGGTGGGACAGTAATAAGGCAGAGGAGAGGAATTTGGCGTTGTTAGCTGCATTTCCATTACAACCCTACGCAAAACTTTGTCGATATTCTGCTAATGCCTAAAAAACCCACAATTTTGGTTAAATTAAATCGCACTTGAATAACTAATTCAAAGTTATCGTTCTACCACTTTCTCTCGTCTTATTCGCCTTTTCCACTAGCAGTAACACCCAGATGTTGATCACACGATTTGTGTGATGCAAAAAAACAGTTTTACGAAATACAATAATTTCGATACAGTTGAAAAACCACCTCACCCGAACGCGAAAACCTTTTATAAAAAAAAAAACAAAAAAACGCAAGTTTTCTCAAAGTTGATGTTTCCATTTAGTTAATTTATTTTTGTAATTTCAGTTTGCGCAATTAGGTGTCCAGTGGAATCGCAGCTATCGACTTGGGTCGCATTCATTTGCACGTTGATTAGAGCAGAACAATACTGAAATGTCACGGAGTTGGTTGCATCAGACACGTCTGTAGAACACAATGAAAAAAAAAGTTCAAACGTGAGGCAGCAGATTGAAAGTTTAGCTCCTGATTAAACAACTCTAGTTCAGTCAGGAAACCAAATTAAAGCTCGTTTTCTTGGCATCTTGAACTAAAAAGCAACAAAGGTCAATGCCTAAACTGAGGAACATTGTGTTGCTTTTATAGGCCTGTTTTATAGGGCTCTTCCAGATTCTTGGAGGGTCTTCCAAACAACAACATGCCCACATTTCACACTCGCCCCACCCTGCCGTCCCGCCCTCCCCCCCTGGCCTTCTCCCCCAATTCCACTCAGCAGGTCAAAGGCAGGTCATGGGTTCAACTGTAAGTTTAAGCCTGTATTTGTTTCAGCTGTAGATGGGAGGGGGAACAGACACCTCCAGTGTGGCCGTAGAGACTCCCACCTCTATTTGACCTGCTGGTAACCTCGGCTAACTCCTCCTCAACTTATCGTCAATTTTGTTGCCCCTGCGACCGTGCCCTGCTGTCACTCTGCAGCCCTGCAGTTTGTCTTTGTTGACGGGACAGCTGTGTGTGTGTGTGTTTTAGAAGTCAACGAACAGATGCTTAAGAACACAGGCAAATAAATTAAAGCGGTTGACTATTTCAACGTTTTTATTTTTACCGTTTTAATGACAGATAATAATAGAAAGTGTTTTGTAAGATTATTTTATTTTTTCATTTTATTTCGAACAGGCAGAAAAGACAATCAAGAAAGAAAAAAAAAACTAAATAAAATAGGATGAAACAAACTTAAGAAATAAAAGGTAAAACAAATTATTTTGCCCAAGTGACATGCAAATTTTATATTTTCTGTTCGAAAAGGAATAGGTAGAAGATACAATATCTTATGTCTTACAGTATCTTACAATGTTAAAATACTTACTTTTTTGTGCTGATTTCTGTTACATTTTCACTAAATAGGGGCTTTTATGAGACTCTACATTTAATAACCTTAAGAAAAAATGTGTTACTATTGCAGTTAAACAAAAAAAAAACAGTTCTAACTGCTACTAAAATAATAATTATTTAAGGGCACATCTAAAACAGTTTCTGTTGTTAATTGGATATTGATAAGTAGACACACACAAA